CGATGATGATGATGATGGCGATGATGGCGACGATGACGACGATGATGATGGCCGTGAGGTGGGAGATGGGCCAGCGACCAGCGGGGCACGGAACAAGGATGCCATGTCTGATTCCAGTGATGACAATGATGATGATGATGATCATGTCGGTGTGTACGATGTCCTCGGTCTTGCTGCCGACAGTGACGACGATGCCGGTACGAGATTGTCTGTGTGTGTGTGTGTGTGTGTGCTCTGTGTGCGTGCGTGTGCGTGCGTGTGTGTGCTCTGTGTGTGCTCTGTGTGCTCTGTGTGCGTGCGTGTGCGTGCGTGTGTGTGCTCTGTGTGTGCTCTGTGTGCGTGCGTGTGTGTGCTCTGTGTGTGTGCTCTGTGTGCGTGCGTGCATGTGCACGCGTGTCTGTACCTTCATGTGCATGGTTGTGCGCGCTCGTCCACCACCAGTTTGTGCGTGACCTGCGGCGCGGGTCCCTCAGGACGCCGCTGACAGAGCAGTGCCGGCGGGCGACTCGGGCGGAGCGCGATGGATTGGGCGAGGACTTTTCCCGCGGGCCAGCACGCGATGTGGTATGCACACAGACTCACGCGCGCACACACGCACACACACACACACACACACACACACACACACACACACACACACACACACACACACACACACACACACACGCACATGCACACGCACACACGCACATGCACACGCACATGCACGCACGCGCGCAGACAGGACGAGTTGGTGTTGGTGTTGGAAAGCGGAGATGAGGGTAGTGTTCAGGGTGTGTCACGTGCGGGAACCCACACGAATGCATTCGCTGATAGTATGGGTTCCCTGTACAGTTTGCGCCCAACGCATGCCTCGCAAATCAACTCAACACTCGCAATCATCATCACCGCCATCGTCACCACCATTATCGATAACAGGACATTGATCAGTATGTTAAGGTGTCACCGATTGAAGAACCGCAGCTGTTCTTTGCACTCCTGATGGAGTCCATCTACTACCTCATCATGCACGTCGAAAACTGCAGCAGAGACGAGGTATGTGTGTGTCATCGTGTCGTTTGCATGTGTGTGTTCGTGTGTGTGTCTGCGTGTGTCTGTGTGTGCTTGTTTGTGTGTGTGTCTGTGTGTGTGTGTCTGTGTTTCCGTGTTTGTGTATTTGTATGTGTGTGTGTCTGTGTTTCCGTGTTTGTGTATTTGTATGTTTGTGTGTGCGTATGTGTGTCTGTGGTATCTGCATCATGGTCCACCTTTTGCCAACAAAGCTCACACGTTCACATACACTCGCACGCATTCACCTACACACCATCATCACCATAAATCACCACCACCACGCAACCCCCTTCCATTCCATCAAGGCGGTTGCGATTTCGCGGGAGAACTACCGTACGCAGGAGGAGGATATGGGCATGGAGCAGATGGCGCGGCAGTCTGTGCGGGAGCGCCAGCGGGAACAGCGACGGCGGTACAGGGAGGACGAAGAGAAGGACGAGTACACGGATGACGATGGCGAGTGGGCGTAGCACATGCGCCGCACAATAAGTCGACACGACGAATGAAGAGGTGGAAGTGTGTTGTTCGCAGGAGTAGCATGGGTGGTGCTATGGTGATAATGTCGTGGTACTGTTTCCGTCTTGGCCTTGTGAATTGATTTGGACCCATAACGGAATAGAAGCTGCTTCCTTGCTTGCTGTTTTGTCTGTCACAGTTGTTGTCGATTGCACGTTGCCTGACTTGATAGGCGGTGTTCTGCAACGAACTGGCATTCCTGTTGTGGTGATTATGAGACTTTGGGTTGCAATGTCAGCTGCGTCTATTCTTGCTTGTGTGTGTGTGTGTGTGTGTGTGTGTGTGTGTGTGTGCGTGCGTGCGTGCGTGCACGCCTGTCTGTTCGTGTGCATTGCCCTTTCCTCTCCCTTTCCCTTCCGTGCGTGCGCTGTCGCTTATGATAACAACAAAATAACATGCGTACACATGCGTTTTCATTTGCGCAAACAGTCGGCAAGCACACCAGGCAAAGCAAAATGAGCAACACGAGACGAGACGAGACGAGACGAGACGAGACAAGCAAGCAAGCAGTCCACAAGCACAAGCACTCAAGCACCACGAAACAAACACTCGAACACACACGCACACATACACACACACAAAAAAAAAAAAGGTGCAGGTAGACAGGCAGGCAGGCACGCGCGCGGGTAAGAAACACAAGCACGACCGCCACAACAAACGGGATGATAACCGATCCACCCAGCAGTAGGAAGGAGACAAGGAGGAGAACAAGGACAGGGGTGGTGTGTTGGGTGTGATGTGAAACAATGACGAAGAAAGAGGAGGGGGCGGGTGCCATACAACCACTCCACACTCAACCACCACCACAACGACAAAGCACGCCACACCGCCACACATGGAGACAGCTTGGCTACAACACAGCACGACAGCACGTTGGATCATCACGAGAGGTCAGCCTGGGGCTTGATGGTGTCAAAGTCCTTGAACGCGCTGCTGGATGTTGCGTCGAGCTCGCCGGGCTTGGGCGGCGTCAGGCGCGGCGCCTCCGAGGTAAAGTGGTCGTCAAAGTTGGACACGTCCGTGGCAGACTTGACCTGGGGAACACAAGACAAGACAAAAGAGGGGAGATGAAGAGGGAGGAGGATGGGGGGGGGTTAGCAGTTGAGAGTGGACATTGGTTGTTCGTTTGGGGGGTGGGGACATGTGATGGCGTGTTGGGGGTGAGGAAAAAGAAGATCAAACCAAACTGAATAGGGAGAGAACAGCACAGAGAACACAGGAGGACACAAGAGAAACTGACACACGACCACTGCCACCAACACAAATACAACTACAGCTACTACTGCTGTATCGACTGCCACGACTGCCACGACTGCTAATGTCACTACTGCTGGTGAACCATCTAACCTGTGGTACAAACGGGGCTGGGATTTCACGGCGGTAGAGCTTGTCAAAGTCGACGGATGCAAACCAGGGGTGCTCCTGGATCTCGTGGCCGTCGCGCGCGCCGCCGCCAATGCGCTGGGCAGGGTCCTTATGCAGCAGCTTGCCAATCAGATCCTGTCTCGCACACGCACACGACGACGACACACACGCAACGACCACACGCACAACCAAACACAAAAGCGGTACAGCAGACAAACAAACACAAGCACGCATGTGCAGTGGTGGTCGTGGTGATTGACCCGTGCGTGAGTGAAGGGACAAGGGAAAAATACGTCGGGACAGTGGCATGTAATGAAAAGAGAGAGGGCATCGCATCAACAAGAGAATGTGCATGGTAGTGGCGAGCGTACAAGCCCTTCGCAACCAACGACCAAAAAATGCCTGCAAGCAACGGGGGTGCAAGTGCGGACCTGGGCGACGTCGCCAATGATGGGCGGGAAGACGACCTCCTGTGTGATGATGAGCTCAAAGAGCTCCTCGTAGTCGTGCGAGTTGAACGGAAGCTTTCCGCTCAGCATCTCAAACATCACAATCCCAAGGCCCCACCTGTTCACAAGGCAGACACAACGTTGCAGGCATTGTGTGAGTGTGAGAGAGTGTGTGCGTAAGTGTGTGTGTGTGTGTGTGTGTGTGTGTGTGTGTGTGTGTGTGTGTGTGTGTGTGTGTGAGTGCGTGTAGTGTGTTGAGGCGGTTATAGGCTGACGTCGTGCATGTGATATCGCACGTCAGGTAGAGCGAAACCTTACTTGGAAACGGATGGGGGAGAGAAGACTTATCATTGTTGACACCTTTCGTTGCATAAATACTCCGATCTGGCGTGCGCGAAGTGGGGGGCGTATAGTAATGGAACGGTTAATGTCACTTTCCTCCTAATATCGTGTCAGAAGATGTGAGTGCGTGAGTGTGAGTGTGAGAGAGAGTGGGGGTGAATGTGTGTGTGTGTGTGTGTGTGTGAAGAAGCGTGAATGAGTGAGTGCGAGTGCGAATGTGTATGGGTGGGTGCGTAAATGAGAATGTAACACACACACACACACACACACACACACACACACACACACACACACACACACACTCACACACACACACACACACACACACACACACACGGCTCACTGACCAGTCGACAGGAAGGCCGTAGTCTGAGTCGAGAATCACTTCAGGCGCCTATGCAACGCACACACACACACACACACACACACACACACACACACACACACACACACACACACACACGAGTGAAGAGGAAGAGTGAGTATCAAAAGCCGTCATTGCACACACGGAAATGAGTACCACTCTCCATGCACCACAAATCCCCCCCCAAAGCCCTCTACTCCAGCCCTGCTCCCAACGCCATCAACACCACCACCGTCACGAGCAGGTGGCCAACGCACGAGGTATTCTGGGGTGCCGCAGAAGGTGCGCGTCGTGGAGCCGTACGTGATCTCCTCCTTACACAGACCAAAGTCCGTAATCTGAAGGGCGTAACCATGGCGTGGCATCAAGCGTGTAATGGGTGAGTGAGAAGGTGAGCGCCTAAAAGGAAGTGTTCTGAGATGAGACAAATGGAAGCACCGCCTGTCGTTGTCAAAGGAGACACACAGCACTCAAATTAAGGTTGCATAAAATTGCCCTGCGAGCGCCAATAACTTTCCCCGTCCACGGCACCACAACACCAACTGCCACGCCACCACGCCAACCGCATCGCACGTGCTGGTGTACCTTGATGTGTCCCTCGGCGTCGAGCAGCAGGTTCTCGAGCTTGAGGTCGCGGTAGATGATGCCTTGGTCGTGCAGGTATGTCAGCGCAAGCAGAATCTCCGCAATGTAGATGCGCGTGCGGTCCTCGCTGAACTTCTTCTCCTTGCGCAGGTGGAAGAACAGCTACAAGAGGGGAGGGTGGGTGCAGTGGTGGTGAGCTCACGAAGGGGAAGAGCAGGCAGGGACAACAACAGTATGGAAGTTGAAGCCCATGCATACACACGCACGTGTACACGCACACACATGGACACACGCACACGACACACACACGACACACGCACACGACACACACACACGCGCGCGCGCGCACACACACACACACACACGACACACACACGCCATCACGGCAGCACGCCACATGACCGTCGAGCGTGTGAGCACGTGTGCACCTCGCCGCCGTTGACGTATTCCATGACGAAGCAGAGGAGGTCTGGTGTCTGGAACGAGTAGTGCAGCGACGTCAGGAACGGATGCGAGCACTTGGCCAGCACGGAGTTCTCCGTAAACGTGTGCGCCAGCTCGTTCTTCTCCAGAATCTGCCACACAAAACAGGGACATGTGCGCGTGAGGTGTGATTGACGGCATGTGTGTGCGCGCGCGCGCGTGTGTGTGTGTGTGTTAGGACAAAACAAGCAGAACATGCATATAAACCACCAAGAGCGACGCATGACGGTCACGTGGAAACAATAGTCACAGCAGGAGCAGCAAAGGTTTGTCTGTTACACATGTGTGCGCGTGTGTGCGTGTGCGTCTCAACAAACGCACCATGCTCTTCTTGAGAACTTTGATCGCGTAAACGGCACCCGATGACTTGAGCTTGGCAAGCATCACCTTGCCAAAGCTGCCCTTGCCAAGCACCTACACACGCGCCGTGCGTGCGTGTGTGTGTATGGGGTGTAAGTGGGTGTGTATGAGTGTAAGTGGGTGCGTTTGTGAGGTAAGAGAACGTGTGTATGTGTATGTGTGTGTCTGCCTGTGTGTGTGTGTGACACAGGCTGACTGAACAGGTAATCACATGTGGCGCTGCTACCATGATCCAATGACCCCCCTCTCCTACACACACACACACACACACATACATACACACGCTGGGGCGAACCTTGAGCATTTCGAAGCTGTCCATGGAGATGTCTGCGGGCTCTGGGCGGCCGCCAATGAAGGACATGGCGCGGGTGTCGTGTGATGACCGCGAGCCGCGCGAGTCACCGGCTCCCTCGAGCTGTCCGTCATGGAAAGAGGAGTGGTGGTGGTGGTGGTGGTGGTGGTGGTGGTGGTGGTGGTGGTGGTGGTGGTGGAACAAGGCGAGGACGATGGTAGAAGCGTGTCAGTTGGATGGGATAGAATAAACTGGGGAGGGTGATGGTACGGAGCACAAGCAAGCGCTCACGTATGCCAGGTGGCAAGCAAACCAGCCTGTTTCCGCATCGAACAAAGACATACACACACACATACGAGAGAGAGCAATGCGGTGGAGTACATACGGAGTGCTTGAGTCCCGTGATGGCGTCAACCCACTCCTGGCGCTCCATGGCAGACTCTGTATGGAAGGAACGCTCAATCACGCGCGTCATCTGAACAAAGCTGTTGGTTTGGCAGCATGCGTCAGTTCGTCATGTGAGCACATGACTATGGATGGAGTGACCAGAAGAGGTGGAGGGTGATGGAGGTCGTGTACAAGCTTGGGCGACAAGCCATAACCACACAGAGAGAGAGACACAC